ACCATAATTACGTTATATTTCTAAGTTTGGTTTGCTTAATGAGTATTAAAATCCTTTATCAAAAAATTTTGAATAGTGCGAATTTACATGTAATACATGATCGTACTGGTCCTGCGCGGCGTCACGCGTCGCGCAGCTAACCTAATTAATATTTGACTGCTTTAAATTATTGATTTGGTCGTAAGGTTCATTACTACTAGTAATAATATTGTTGTTCTGGCTAGCCTTATTTTGTGTTGTATTATTATTTTGGATGTTGAGTCCATTGGTTACAGAATCATCAAGACAGTTACATTGTGATAATTTATTCAAATCTGAATTGTTTTCGATGGACATCTCAGGCCTCATATCCCTTACTGTATTTTCTAAGACTATATTGTGTGTTTGTTCGCCTACCAGTTGTTGAAGATGTTTGATATATTCTACTACTCTACGGAGGATAAAACCTTTACCTTGTCTGTCAGTAGGACTACGGTAAAGAAAATTATCTGGTATAAGAGTACTTAATTCCTGAATCTTTTCGTTAATATTATCTCTTCGACGACGTTCAACTGAAAGTCAAGAAAATGCTCCAAATTAATTTAATAAAGAAAATCAATTAAAAATAGTGATTATCTACTCACCAGCATTATGCCCTTCTCTACGACGACGTCTCTTTTCATTTAAAAATTTCCTAAAACATATACAAAATGTTGTCAATAAATTTATACGTAGTAGTGATGATGAAAATCGAATAAACTATCAATGAAATTTATTCAAAAAGCATACCATCTTTGAGCCTCATCAGGATTATCATCTAATCTTGTCGTTGGATCTATATGAGAATAATATTGCATAGAACATATTTGTAAATATTGGATATAATATTCATCACTTGCAAATCCGTATAACTAAAAAGTTAGCAGACGACATCATAGAGGATTGAATGTTAACTTGTTGATTAAGATCCACTTTGAAGGATTTTGATTTTTGCTTTATATGACCAGATACATAAGATAGAGTTGTATCTATTCTTAAGTTATTTGGTCTAACTTTACTTCCGTTGAATGAATTATGAAGAGTTTCTAAAGCAGCATCATTCGCCGGAATTGTCATATTCTTATTTTGACGTTTTATTTGTTCTAAATGATATTTCGTAGGATTGTTTAAATATGACATTTTGTTTAATATTAGATACCTATTTTTTTTATATTATTAATGCTTGAAATTAAAATAAAAAATAAAAAAAGAGCAAGTGCTTCTACCTTGGCAAAAATAGAGAAAATATAAGCAAAACAAAAATATATGAATTATGCTATGGTAAAGCCTTTTGTCAAAAGCAGATTTCATTTCATCACATCCGAATAAAGAATCCCTGAAAAGGAAATTCCTGAAAAAGGAACAACAATAATGTGTATATATCAAAGACTGATTGCCTAAAAATCAATTCGACATAAATTCAGAACAAGTTAAAGAAAAAAGCGAAAGTACTCTAAATTAATATTAATAGACTATGGCGTTCTAATTAAAAATGACGAGGATAGAATTTTACATTAATAGACAGCAGTTTACTACAATAACCCTAACGCTAGCGTCCCAACTCTAAATTCCTACCCTTTCGCATTTTTTTAAAAAATTTCTTTTTTGGGTTTACGTTTTACACAAATAAGTAAATCCGATAACATCTCAATTCACATGACATGTTGTATAGTTAAATATTTACACCAAATAGGAAAGTGTATGGCAATATGAAGAATGAATGGCTCTGTGTAAATCACGTTTAATTATAAATGTATAGTTCGTGACGTCTATGTTTGTATGTTGTATACTTTCTAGCCTGTGCATAATCAAGGTTCATATAATATTGTGAGACAAGGAAGGCTACAGCAAAAGTCATGGTTGCTAAAATGTTGTGATTAGAGTTGGTCACTGAAAACTTTTTGCAAAATCCGAATATTTCAGGTTCCGGATGTGACGTCCAGCGGGAGAGACTTGGTTATATCGTTAATGATTTAATTCAGGGGCGTCAGCATTAAGGGGATGAAAGCAAGGATTTATTATCTCTTTCAGGTATCAAAGTACTGAACCAATGTCTTTATTTGTGTCCCAGACACTAACTATTCTAATATCTCTATTCCAAACTCACTAGAACCCAACTAAAAATACAGAACTAAAACTGAATAAATCTCTCTAAGAATCCAAACTAAAAGTACTCTCTAAAAAACAACTCTGCATACTAACGTTCTATATATCTATATTTATACATACAATTAGACTACAAATTAACTATTAACTATTTACAAGTAGGGATGGGTTCGGTCACGAACGGTCAAAATTTTCATAGCCAATTTGCTAAATACTGAGATGATTTTTTACTT